CACAATTTCATACAAGCAGAATCTGATAAGGTCAATCAGAATACAGTTCAGAGGACAGCTGCAGGGGTAGGTGGGTATGGACAGTATCTAGAACCCACAGGTTGCTCAGTGTCCCTGGGTAGTTGTCATCATAGTAAAATATTTTAAATAAGTTGTTTTTGTTTGTTTGTTTGAAATCAAGTTCATCAAGTGGAACCCTGACCCAAATTCAAGCTAATAAAGGTCTGCTGCCCTCACAGCTGATCTTCATCTGTGATGTAACATTCAATGTGGAGGCCAGACAGCAATGCACCCTGTATCTTCAGGCTGCTTCTGGCCCCTTAGCATATTCTCTTTCTGTGATGTCTTCAGCAGCTTTGTCCTGAGGGCACAAAAAGCTCTTCTTCATATTTTAGTGTCCTGGTCAGAAGTGACATCCTGTGAACAGAGGAGGAGAGAATGAACCAGGAAGAGGTTGGGGGAAAAGCTGACATGTAGCATATCTGTCTAGGGGCTGCTTCATGAGGCAATAATGCTCTAATCGTAATAAGGATCTCTGGTGGTGCCATGTTCAGCTGTCAGTTAGCAGTTCAAATCCACCCCTCAGATCTGAGAACAAAGACCTGGTAATGTGCTTCCGTAGAGATTACAGTCAAGAAAAATCTAGAAGGCTGTTCTACTCTGTCACATGGGGTCACTATGGATTGGAATTAGCTTGATGGCACGCATAACGGTAATAAAGCATGCATTAACTCAATAGCCATAGCAGTTAGATACTTCTATTAACTCTGCTTTACACCTTTAGGTCAGACAGCTAATAAGTATCCCCAGGATTTAAACTAGAAAGGAGTGAGCTAAAGAGGAGCTAGAACTATAGCATAATGAACAGGGGAATCTAACTGAACTACTTACTTTAAATATATACTCAGTCCATAAATATACTATATAAAAATGTCCAGATGGAACATTTTTATAGGGGTGGAAACGAGAACGCAGCAGACACGAGTGTGTATCTTATTAAGGGGAAGGGAAAACTCCTCTGATTTAAGATGAAATTTCCTTATAGTCTAGTAGGAAGTGAGGTCATTTGTAGAGAGCAAAAGGGTAAGTGAGGATTTGAGGAATATGGGGTGAAAAGTGAGGGTACCAGAGATACGGTGAGAAGATTTCCAGGTAGCAGGTGGTCCAGTAATAGTTTATAATAGATCCTGCAGTCCAGTTCTGTGAATTCCACCAATAATACTTACAAGTCTTGGTAAAGAGTGACTGACTTTGGGGATTACTGTGGAGTCCTGCTGTGGCACTGTAGGATAAGCACTAGACTGCTAACTGCAAGGTCGGTCATTTAAACCCACTTCTCAGAAGCCCTGTAAGGGGGTTGCCATGAGTTGGAACTCACTTGACGGCACTTACCCACGACAACATGGAGAGAGCAGGTCAAAAGCAAGAGGGAAATTAAGACACAGAAAGACAGTACTTAAGTGACTGGCCATGCCTGCGGTCTGCCTAGGGCGTGGAGACAGCCAACCACAGGAGACAAGTTCAGAGGCTACGGAAGGTGTGAGGTGAGAAGGCTGTAGAGTGTGGCCCCAAGAGAAATGAGATAAAGGCAAGGGGTATCTCAAGAGAAGATTGTCTCTATCAGCTAAGGGAGAAAATAAAAAATGAAATCAGATGTTGAGAAAACAAGAAGAAAAGAAACTGAATTGGGTAATTAGGAAGTATGCATTTAGTGTAAATAAAACAAAGCCTCGGCTGTGATGTCAAAACATCTCAAAGGTCTCTGGATAAGTTTTATCTTTGGCATACTTGAGTGGCCAACACAGTACTGGAGTGTTAGAGAAACATGTGTTACATTTATTTAAAATATTAGAATTGGGTGTTTATTCAATGCTCTTCCCAGGACTACATCATCTATAAAGCAAACCTTAAGTTCTGTGATTTGATATGTCTAGCCTTACCCATGATGGAGATTCCCAAGATGCCTCATTCTTTAAGCATGACATGTTAAAATGCTTGTGATGAGCAACATAAAAGGTGGTGGTGGTGGTTATGTGCCATGGAGTCGGTTCTGACTCATAGGGACCTCGTACAGGGTTTCCAAGGCTGTAAATCTTTACAGGAGCAGAAAGCCTCATCTTTCTCCCACAGAACTGCTGGTAGTTTCAAACTAGCTGACCTTGAGGTTAGCAGCCTGACTCGTAACCACTACACTACCAGAACTCCTTAACATAAGAAGTTGTTGTTAGGTGCCATCGAGTCGGTGCCGACTCATAGCGACCTTATGTACAGCAGAACGAAACACTGCCCGATCCTGGGCCAACCTCACTACTGTTGCCACACTTGAGTCCATCGATGCTGCCACTTGGCCAATACATCTCGCTGGGGGTCTTCCTCGTTTTCTCTGACCCTCCACCTTACCAAACATGATATCCTTCTCCAGCGACTGCTCCCTCCTGATAGTTAACCCTTTATAGTACTTTCATAATCTGAAAGTACTTTGGTGCTTATTCATGAAAATGGCTCTTGCTTTTTCTTGAAACCTGAATTGCTTCATCCTTTGGGTTTCACATAGTATGTTCCCAGGCAGAACCACATTTATTTCACTCTCTTATTTGTTTATACATCTGTGAACCCCCAGTATCTCTCACAGTGCTTGGGATAACCAATGCTTGATTGCATGTATGTTAATTGCATGAATTATTAGTTTATCCAATCACCCTATTTCAACCAATCAAGAAACAACATGGAAGTTAATGAGCTAACTAGAAAAGCTCTCCTCTAAGTAAAGCATGCTAGCCAAGATGGATGCAGGGATAGACCTGGGAAACGCATGGGGTCTCTTAGGGATGCCATATGATCAAGGGGGTCAACATCACAGTTGTTCTTGTCAGTGAATCCTTTTACACTAGTGCCTGAGGCATTTTGGTCAAGACAGGCCTAAATGAGGAGGGACAATTTGAATGGTGGGTACATGAGGGTCAGAAGGAAGAGTATTCCAGGCAAAAGGAACAGCTGGTTAAGAAGGGATGACCTTGGCATATTTGAAGAACAGAAAAAAAAAAAAAAAGTCTGTGTAGTTGGAACAAGCAATGGGGAGAGTCAGGGAGAGGGGGCAAAGACCCACCCTGCAGGCTAGATTTTACTCTGATGGCAATGTGAGGCCATGGGGTCAAGGGGTGGAAAGTTTAGTGGGTTGTATTGTATTTTCCAAAAATCTATGTCCAAGTTCTAAGCCCCAGTGCCTATGCATATGACTTGTTTGGAAATAGGGTCTTGGCAGCTGTAATTAGGTTAAGGGTATTGAGATGCAATCATTACTGGATTAGAGGGCCCCCTATATGAAATGACTGGCCTCTTGATGAGAAAGAAGAGGTGATTTGAGACACTCAGACACAGGCTAAGGCCACGGGAAGACAAAGGCAGAGATTGGAGCCAGGCACCTATAAGCCAAGGAATGTCAAAGATTGCTGACAACCACCACAATCTGAAAGAGGCCAGGAGGATCCCAATTTGATGGTTGTTGCTGGCAGTCAGATTCATGGAACAGATTCTCCCTCAGAGCTTGCTGACGTTTTTATTTTGGACTTTGGATCTCCAAAACTGTGAGAAAGTGAATAGCTGTTGCTTTCAGCTGCCAACTTTCAGGTAATGGCAGGGCTAGGAAACTAAGACAAGAGGTGAGTAATCTGAGTAAAGGGGAGATCTAAAAATTAAAGCTCCCACAAGTGTGGGCCCAGATGGGATGGAGGGACTGAGTTAGCTCCCTCTTCATCCTGTGTAAAAATCAAACCCAACCCCACAACCACTGAGACAGTGCCTATTCATAGCACCCTAGATAGGGTTTCTGAGAATGTAAATCTGTCCAGGAGCAGACAGCCTTAGCTTTCTCCCACAGGTGCTCAATACCTGTGAGATTGGATATAACATAAACACCTGATTCTTTAAAGATTCAATGTCAACACCCCCTGCACCCTGGAGCTTCCCCAACTTTTCTCCCACTCTCTACAAACAAATTGTTTCTCTCTTGACATTGAGCTTTGGGCTTCCTTAGGACTACCTGGCTGCCTGCCAGTCCACCTGCCTGCCCATCAGCCTGTTGCAGAGCCCTGGCTGCACAATAGTTAAGCACTAGGCTGCTAACCAGAAGGTTGGCTGTTCAAACCCACCCAGTGGCTCTTTGGGAGAAAAGACGTGGCAATGTCTTTCCGTAGAGATCTCAACCTAGGACATGTTATGAGGCAGTTCTGCTCGGCCTGATAGGGCCACTCTAAGTGGGTCCCTAGGAGTCTGCTAGAAGGCGTGGTTCCATGGAGAATTCTCTGGTCTGTGTGGGAGATTGGGGTCAATTGCTGGCTGATGCACTACAAGTGCTGCCACAACCCATTTGCCAATGGAGGTTTGTGTGTTGCTATGATGCTGAGCAGGTTACAGGGTAGAAGAGAGGCAGGTGAAAATAAATGGGTCTAGAGATATACTTCTGAAAACCAGCCAATAATACATAGAATCCTATGGGTCACAGTGGTCTGATCCCCTTGTGCATGGGGCCCCCAGGCATCACCAACAGCTAACAGCATCATGGAGATGAACTGCTGGACTCACCTGTTAGACAGTGAGCTTTTCTTGCAAAGGAGCAGCCCTTTTGTCTCTGAATAACCGTAGCAGGAGCCCATGACCGTGCACCTAGTAGGCCTTCAGTAGGGCTTACTGACTGGAGTTACTGAGCTATGCCAAATCCTGGTCACCTAGTACATACCGTAGTCCCCAGATTCTGAGCTGGGGAGAAGCTGGAGAGAACCTGAGACACTACTCCTTTTTGTGTTTTTGTCCCCTGCAGATCAAACAGAACCTATCCCAACCCAGTATGACATAAAGTAAGAGGTTGGCAGCATAGGAACTGCACATTGAGCTGGCTGGTGATGGACCTGTAAGGGGTAGGCAGGTGTCCACAGTAGAGAAGGCGGGTTCCATGGCTGAACCCTGGCACTGCTCGCCCAATGTGAACAAGCTAGGCTGCTTACCTCTGCCAAGGCCTCGCTGCTGGTCTCCAGCTGGGCAGGGCCAGTTTTGGGATGGCATCCTGTCTCAAGGACTTCACCCTCCTCCTCTTCCTTTTCCTTGTCTTTCTCCTGCTCTGAGATGTTGCTGTCCTTCATTTCTCCAGAGGGATTTGAGGGACTCTCCACCCCTACAGCTTTCTGCTCAGGCTTCTCTGGGTCTTGGCTCTTTTGCCCAGATTTATCCTCTTCATTTCTGGCTCCCTCCTCCTTCAGCGCTGTGGACTTTTCCGTCTCTGCTTCCTCTTCAGCCATGGTTTCCTCTGTGGGGCTCTCGCACCCATTCTCTGCCTTGGGGCTGGGGACTTGGGATGGCTCTGTGGCCTCCCTCTGGTCTGGGCCCTGGTGTTCCTCCTCTGGTGATTGCCCTTCCATCTTCTCCTGTTGCTTGCCTTCCTCAGAGGCCGTCTCCTCGTGCTTCTCTGTCCAGCTGAGTGTCCTCCTTAAAGGAGGCTTTTCATCCAACCCCAGGCTTCTCCTCCCTTCCTTTCCCACCACCCCATCGCTGGATGGAAGGGGTCCTAGGGCCTTGCTCTTGGGTGCAAACACCTCATCCCCATTCTCTTCCTTGGCTCCATTCTCCTGAGATGACTCCGCAGCCCTGAAATCTCCAAGGTCCCCGCAGTCAGACTGAGACCTTCGGAATCTTCTGGAGGGAGGGCGCCTTTTTATTGAGCCCCGCGTCCGCACCTGGAAGGAAATGTTAAGGAAAGTTATCAAAAATCTATTTTTTTTTTAAAAAAAAGGCCAAGAGGAGAACTGTGGGCCCTTTCAATGCCAGTCTAAAGCATTATTTAATGAGCCCACCCAGGGATTACTTAATTTTCTAGGCAGACTGTACCATCCTTTGCTATTTATTATAGGTGAGAGCCCTATAAAATTGTGAATTTTTAAAAATATTTTATTGTGAATTATG